CCACTGGCCTGAGCCACCTGCAAAGCCTGCTTTCGAACTGCCCGGTTTGGTAGCTTGGTGATGATTGAGTCTATCAATGACAAACAAAAGTTGACCAAAACTTATCTGAAATGGCGCAAATGTAAAAGGCTTTTGTATAAGGATTAACTGTCATTTGTGGAAAAGGGCAAAACCCTGCCACATACTTCTTTGTCGAAGCAGGATTGACAGGCAAGGAAGCAGGTGATAAGCTTTGACATGCGCTCTGGCCCTATGAGGTCGTCATGACGATTCATGCCCCTCATCATGCCGGCCAGCCGGCTCCAGCGGGCAGGCAACGGCGGCCGCAGACTTGCCCGGCCTGGGGTGACGGCCAACTCGGCCAACAGCAGCAGCAGAAGACCCGTCAATGCAAGGCCAGCCAGTAGACCCCGAGGGCTCATCTGCCCAGCTCGTAACTTGGCGGAAGCCCGGTTGTGATGGCTTGACGTTAGAGGGCCATGATGGGTTGCTAAGTTGACCACCTGCCCGAGGAGCGCCCGACTGGGCTGACCTTCCAGGCGCGCTGAGGTGGTGAGTGAGGCCGTGAGCATCCCTACTTGGCAGTCAATAGAGGGAGCATTAAGTTATCCTCTTACTACTATTGCAATTAGGAGTAGTATTAACGGGAACGTATAGTGCTAGTTATGTGAAGACTTTCATTTTATATGAAAGTGCATGATGAAGAGATTCACATGTCTTTCTCGCCAGAAGAAGCCGACTGATTTTCCATATACTGCAGCCGTTTGGCTGTGACGAACATCCTCAGAGCTGGAGCTCATTCTTGCAAAAAAGACTGACCGGCTTTTTTCTATATGATATATACATTGATTGCGAGAAAAAGTGAAATATGGCAGGAGGGCCTAGAGAGAGGTCAGTCTACTTGACTTAGTGTTAACTTAAAGCTTTTGCAAGAATGATTCCCAGCTTGGCCAATGCTCGTAGTGAGGGCGAGTAGAAGGGACTCATAAATTGGCCTCACCGGATACCACAGGAAAGTTATATTGGACTTTTGTCTGTTGAATTGTGCAAGGAAGACCTCGGCTCATCGTCCTGCGGCCTCGATGACTCCGTGCCGATCTTTCGTCCGTCATGTGACAAACATCGTCAGAGCCAGAAACCATTTATCACCAAAAGCACTAAACCAAAAAAGGTTTATTGTTCTGACGAGGTCCGTCAAATGACGGACGAAATCTCAGCACGGACTCATTGGGGTCGTAGAACGATGAGCCGAGGTATTCTTCGCACAATTCAACAGACAACAGTCCAAGGCAACCCTCCTTCGGCATCAGAAGAGGCTAATCTACGAATTCCTTGGACCCGCCTTCTCAAATGAAATGAAAAGTATGCTAGTATCAATCGACTAAGGGATTCTTCGAAACCCAGCTTCTCTTTATATCGATGTTCGTAATATCACGAATGGAAGCTCAACCTAAATAATTGCAGTAAAATGGGAATCAGCTGGAGTCTTCTGGCTAGATTGGCCTACGAATCTTTACATCATGCACTTCCATAAGAAGTGAAAGTCTTCCTAACAATCATATCTCAGGAGATTGTTCAAAACCCGCATTTACTTTGTATATACACAATGCCATTTCTGTCGGCATCAATTCCAATTTCTCTTCTTCAATTCCACTCGTCCTAACTCGATTCGACATCCTACAACAAGTTCATTCTCCTTTTTTTCGTTTTGAGTATATTTTCCAAACTACCAGTAAATCACATATATGATATACGTTTACCCTATTTCATTTAGGGTGATAAGGGGACTGGTATTTGAAGTTTCCCACAATAATATGAGCATAGCTGACGCTTCCATTGAATTTCACATTGTCTTGCTTTCCCAAAAGATGTTCTCATCTAGGCTAAACTGCCGTTTCGATTTCGCCTAGGTCTCATCAACATCCATAGCAGAACTCGAACCATGCCACGAGTGCCCTTGGGTCACAGGGTAGGCGTGGATTTCAAGGAAGGCCAGGCATTTTCTCATATCGAATTCTTTGGTGGAAATGTCGATGAGGGAAAGTTATTTTTGTTATAGCAACGACTTTGTCACTTATTTCTCGTGTATAAATAGGTTTTTGAGACTACCAGAAGATGAGTCCTTCATCACCTTAAATTACATATGGTCAGTATATTCGATATAACTATTGTTAAGACCTAGACGAGGTCAAAACTGCCGATCACCTTTTGGCAAAGCAAGGCTATGTGAAATTGAATGGAAGCATCGGCCCTACTCATATCATTGTGGGATAATTCAAATATAAGTCTTTAATCACCTTAAACGACTAAAAGTGAATGAAGCTATTTGTTTCGCAACCTACTTTATCTAAATATTTCGAAATATTTTGATGATAAAATGGCTCAGTGTTGACGAATAGAAAAAGTTCACTTATGTTGCTGTGAAAAAGGATAGCTGAATCACTTTTGATGAAACGAATATAAAGCCTTACAATGACATGGAATTTTAAATGGCCTTGTCTTCCAAAAGGCTTTGTCTTTCGGGCTGGGAGGGAGTTTTACTCTCGTCTGAGTGTCATTAACCTCCGAAAAGGATTCGAAACTTGATCGAGTACGTCAAACGGCCACAGTACCACTCCGTAACACGGCAATGGACGTCAGTTTACCACCGAACTGATCTGACTTTTGAGGCAGACCATGCATTTCCAAAGTTCCCTTTCTTTAATGGGAGTGATGCTCATAAATCGAGTCTATATTTGACACTAGGCTCAAAAACAACACTCTAAACAAAATAGGTTCTGGCAGAATAAATAAAAATGACAGAATATGGTTAACGTAAAGAAAGCATAAATTGTGTTAACTCTCCATCTGAGATTATAACCCTATACATCTAAACTTTTGTGCATACTTTTGGTGAATTGCATATTTGCCTGAAGCTCCGAGATAAAAGCGTGAGGCCATCAAGGTCCTTTCTCATCTATTACTGCTTCCGAGGGCAAAGTGCCTATGTTTTCAGCAGTACCAATTAGCTAATACACCGACAAAGTTGGCTTTTAAACTATCAGTAGATCTAATGATATTGCCTACTCAGCTCATTTAGGGAAAGTATAATGTAAACTTTAATTGACCCGAGGTGATTCGGGATCCTGTTCAAGGTCTGCTAACAGTTGCGAAACGGATGGATTGACACTTTTTA